GCAAACTCGTTACCAATGCATACAGAAGAATGCTCGTTTTGCATGGCGTGTATTACATTATCAACTCCGTTGATAAATCAAATTTCCATCTCATAAATTAGACAGTCTAGTCTTCCGTTGCATTCTTCAGGTCGGAAAAGGTACTTGTAAGGTCACCAACAGTTTTGATTCCTTGGTCCTTCTATAAATGCCTGCTGAAAAGCGCTGTTCATCGATACGTTTGCAAGTGCCAGCTAGCATAACCGATATACTCTGCATCGTGCAGGTCACATTGATAATCATATACCACGCATTGTTGGTTAGTTAGAGGTGGTTAAGGTCTTCACTGATTTTGCGTCTTATGATCACTGGTTGAAGAGTGTGATCGATTTTCTTATTCATATTTGAGTAACAAAATACTTATCTCACTCATTTACATTCTTGGATTACTATTATTATTATTATTATTATTATTATTATTAGTGTTATGGTAGGGTTGGGGGCAACAAGTCAAGAAAATCTCTAGAAATTTCGACGTCTCCTAAACAGCAACTACGTTATATGTTTAAGTGGGGCTTAACATTTCTTTGTCTGTGGCGAATATTACAAGTCAAACAGAAAGCTTGGACCAGAAGTATGTAAAGTAAATGAAGTGAAAGCGCTTCCTTTGACGGACTGTGTGTATAAGCTCCCGTTCAAAAAGGATGCAATGATGCAAAGTTCGGCGGACGGTAGGCCCTGGCGCAGATGAAAGTGTTCAAGCAGAAAGAACCTGAAAGGAACACGCCGAGTAGCTGAGTGTGGCGGGACGTACGAATGCGTTAACTTGGCTTGTCCCTATTTAAAGACTTACGGGCACAAGAAAAACGTACAGTTCAAAAAGCTTCCTCCTGAAATGGTTTGCTCTTGCTGTGGATATAGCGCGAAACCAATAGCGTGTTTTGCGAGAAAGATTTCGGAGTTTCTCGACGGTGCCAGCCAGGTACTAGTTTACCACTATGGAACCCACAAATGCACGGCCATCAAACCAAGTATCGACGTTTCAAGTGAAGTGAACAAATTCTTTAAAGAAAACAGCCCTGCAAAACCTTCTCAATGTGTGCATGAGTCATTAAAGGCTACCCTTCATGACTCCAAAGATGTTAAAGACGTGTACGAGAAAGCTCAGGGTTACGCAGACTACAAGAAGCTACAGAATGTGAAACAAAAAGTCGTGGAGAGCATTAATCCTTTGGGACATTCGTTTGATGCTATAGCGACGATAAAGGAAGCTGCTGATAAAGTGGACAAGTTCCTAATATTTCGTGCAGAAGATGGTTGTCTTTCTGGAAGTGAAAACACTTTTGTATTTAGGAGTACCCAAGAGAAAGTGGAAATGATGTACCAAATGCAACGGGGTAGTGGATCTTCCTTGGCTGAGCAATACTGTTTTCTGGATGCAGAACATGACCGAGTACAGAAGATGAAAACTATCAACTTGAGCGTGGAACATCCAGCCTTAAAAGAACTTGTCACTTTGGCAAGCATGGACTGTCAAAGTGAAAGCACTAATACACTTATCGAGTTTTGGTCCCAGGTCAACAGTGTAAGTGTATGACTTGGTCGTTTACTGAAAAATGCATTTCATTTCCTTATCTCACAGGTGGCGAAAAAATTAAGTGTAATGGATAGTATTTCTTAAGTGCAACACCATTTTAAGAGGCTCAATAGCCTGAATGTCCAAAACTAAGTCGAATTTCTCCGAAATGGCTTTAATTTTTCTGTAATCAAAAGGAACTTTAAATTTCACACATGGTTTCTGAGAACTCCTGTTAACTGCACAAACGTTGTGGCCAAATCAATTTACCCGAGGTCTCAGGGCAATCAAAATTTTGACATAGAATTTAATACAATAAAAAGTTAATTAATTCATTGATGAATGCATTTATTATCTCACAGGCTCTACGTGAATTTACCGGAGATCAGGGATACATCTTCGATCCAGAGAGTTTCGTAACAGACGAGCATGGAGGAAATAGAGAGAGCATCCGTAGAATGCTTAAGCCCGGTGCAGTGGACAGAGCAAAGTCATGTGAAAACCACTTCTACGACTGTGGTCACAAGCAAGAGAGGAGAGATTGAAGCTCTCTAAATTAACTTTCAGAAAATGTTGCACGAAATATATCACGCACCTACCCCTGGCGCATTTGAGGCAACAGAAGAAAACTAATTGACTGGACAGACAAAAAAAAAAGAAAAATGAGGCCATATTAAATCCTGGTTCAACAAATTTTGGCTCAAAAGACGTATGTATGTATTCCGCGCCTTTAAGAGTGCAGACACGCCCAATACCAATACGGAAGAGGCAGGCCACTCGCGTAATGCTACAAGAGGTGCCAAAAATAAGTCGCTGGCCACAGTAGCCGAAGAACATATTGTCGAATGTGCTCTGCTGAAATCGAAATTAGAAATGCATGAAAGTGGAACCTACAAAGGGGGCCATTGTCCAAAGCAACGTCAAAAACACACAGCGACATTTAGA